CATCTAATCAAAACATAAGAAAGTTCAATTACATGGCAGTTGAGAAGTGCATATAAAACATTTACGTAATTGAGCTCACTTTGCAACATCAACTAAAGCACTTTCCACAAAACGCCATAAAAACAAAGCTGGAGCACCATAACCATGCTTGCGGGAGCTTCTCAAATACGCAATAGCGCTCCGCATTCACATACATAACTGGTCACATAACCACACATTGGTCGTAAAAAGAATTTTCAAAGGTACGTGGTTAACATTTCTGCACCTTTTTTTGCATATACAACATTTACGTCAATCTTTGATACATTGTTCATAGCCAATATTCCGCGCAAGACAAAAAAAAACCGCGAGTGATTTTGTGGATTCAGTGCAATAACTGAATATCCTTTCTTGTTCAAATAAACAAGTGCACGGTCACTATTAACAGAACACTCACTACAGGTTGTTGGTGTAATCATTGACTTAAATAAACGTCGGCACACATACTACATATTTTCTATAAAATTTCTTATTTCAAAATCTTTCACATTTGCAAAGCACAGATTCAATTCAGTTGCACATTTTATCGGCTTTTACCTTTTGCAGATAGTTTAAATTGCCAACTCATCACACCAAAAACACTTGTTTAAGTTTCGAGAAATTATAACCTCATTTACTATTGCACTATTGTGATTGCACCTAAACAAGTATTTCACTTTCACTCCTGTAATTCCAGTTCTGCATCCACAAGATCACTACTCGCGCTGTAATATTACTTGGATCAAAAATTTCCAAACATATTTTTCCATTGTACTTGGTTTGAGTTGGGTGGCGACCATCTTCTGCAAATACATACATACATATATAAGTGAATCATACATATGTTTAGGCGCGTCTGCTAACACCAGGCGCCTAAATACATGCTATGTACTGCTGCATGTGCAAAAATTATACAATTTATGAAATTTTTGCACATGCACGTCTCAACTGCCATGTAATTGAACTTTCTTAAGTTTTGATTAGATGGCACTTCAAAGCATGCTCGGCCTAGTCTGATGCATCCTCCGGACACTGCTTCCGGAGCATTTTGCGGACTCTGCATGACTTAAAAAAATGCGGAGGTGGCAAACGAACTTTGCCATTGGCCACAGTGCCTACCCACCATTTTTGAACCAATAAATATTTTTTTTTTATATAAATACATACATGTAAACATACTGGCCTCCCCTCTCACTGAGTTATTCAGAATCAAAACACTTCTGCAATGCCAAAAACCGACAAGCAAAAATTCCGCGAAGAGTGGATTAAACATCCTGAGTTAAACAACTGGATTGTGGAAGATTTGAATGATTCCAAGAAAGCATTGTGCAAGTATTGCAAAAACAGTTTGATCTGCAAGTTACACGATTTGCTTGCACATGCTAAATCTAAACGTTGGGTTGTCTATTTTTTTCCTGGCCTACCTATATGGTTGGTAGGTATTAACAGGTAAGAAATACTGGTAATCTTCACGCATCTGTTTAACACATTCTATAGGTTTTATGCCTTCGATTGGAGTATAATATGTTTATTAAACAACTAAAAAAACTTTAAAAAATAATAATTTTTACATATTTAATTAAAAATATCCTGGCCAGGATTTTTTCAGCCAACACACTCGCTAAATATTTACTAATCCGTTAAATTTCATACAACACAGATTTCAACCATTAAACAGATGTGTGAAGATTGCGCCTTACTCGGATCTTCTCATACATATATCGCACGTTTAATAATATACAGAATTTTCAAAATTTCAATTTTGTGGGAAACCGCAATCAAGGTTTGATCAATTCATACAGTTGGTATACCAAAAGACAGATGGAAAGACACATATCTTCGCCATTTTTGGGAAGTTTAGTTATCTGTTAGGCTGAACATATTCTCCTTATGAAGCTTGTTAATTGTGTGATGAAATCTCCAAAAACGTAAGTTTTGAATTAAATGTCTATATTATTAATCTCTATACTATGATCCCTTATAAATAAAATTAAACTGACAAATTATTAAAAAAAAATCGTTTTTTGTAACAGTTTTCAGAATTTAAATGATTTAGCGGGATTCTAGCGATTTTTGTTTATAAATCTGTCGGGATGGCAAAAACATAAATGGAAACACTGGTTAATTACTATTTTAAAATTAAATAGCCGAAATTGTTTTATCCACAATAATGTTAATCAAAAACGGCCATATGCTCAATAAAATTGTTGAATATAATTGTTATTAGGCCATAAATAACAAAAACAAGTAACTTAAGGACCACACCTAAAAGTTAAACTTTCAAAAATAGAATTACATATTAACAAAAACCAACAAAAACAACAACCACATGATCAAGTGTAAATAGCAGTCGAGTAGCTGCGCTTGATTTTAGTTGGCTTAACACATGAATAGAGTGGAAAAGGCAACAACAGTTTACGTGGCGAACTTAGCTCAGTGGGTAGACTAGTGAGGAAGTCTGATGAGGGGATGTGGTGATTTCCGAAATAGCAGATATAAATTCTACCAAAATTTAAATCGTTGTTTTTTTGCACAAAAATTTTAATTTAACACGGCCTCAAACTTAATAAAACAGTTGAATATAACTGATATAAGGCCATAAATCAAAAACAAATATATAATTTTTATATACCGGTTGGAGGTCATATAAATACTTTAACTTTAAGGGTACACTCATCGGTAAAGCCTGTGAAACGTCTTTTTAATTTAACCGTATTTGACAATTCTCCACAATTCTCTATCCGCCACTGATGTGAACGAAGTGGAAAAGAGTTTTAAAAATCAGAACAAATCAGCACAGGTTTCCGAAAAATAAGGACATTCGCGTACTGAATTGACAATTAAAGATTTTCAGTACAGCGAGTGAAAATTCAGTACAGTCCTTTCCAATCAGTACGTCTGGCAACCGTATCTACACGGGTCGCGATGCTGGTAACAAAGGAAGAGCAAGGCCTCCTCTGAGTTGGAAATACCAGGTGGAGAAGGACATATCTTCACTTGGCATTTCCAATTGGCGTCAGTTGACAGAGAAACGACCGTCGTGCTTTGTTGGAGCCGGCCAAATCGTTTAGGCGGTTGCATCGCCTATCTATGTACAAACTGCTATTTTTGGATCTCGTTTTTGCTAAAAAGTGCTGTTACAGTTTTAATGTAGTAACAGTTTTAATTTTTGCCCGATTTACGCATAATTCCCACCGCATCCTTTTGTGCATACTGAATGCTACCTCCTTTCATTACTCTCTTAAATTCCGGAGTTTGTTTTAATTAATAATTATAATTATACAAAGTTTCGCTATAAATCGAAAAATTTTATGTAGAATAACAATCGGTCAGAATTCAATTGGTAGATACCTACTGTAAGAATTTTAAGGACCTACATTAAGGCAATTTAAATAAAAAATGTTCTATAACTGAGGCCGCGAATACTAAGCATAAGAATATTACAGTAAGTAATATGTGCATATGTATGTATATAATATTTTACTATATCGACCCCTTTAAGCGAAATTATCGTATGTGCCTGAAACCAAATTTTATAGGAGAGCGTTTATACTGCATACTTTCCAAAATGGTTGTATTTTTATAAGCTTTTATTTAACTTGGTCATCCCGCGCAAATCGCGGAAATTTCCAATCGATTTTAAACTGATTTCCCGACAAGTTAGAGACTTGAAATTTTCAGCATAGTTCCAATCACGATGACAATGCAATTTAATATATAAATGAATTTCCCATATGGTCCAGGGGTCTTGATTCAAAGGCGGTCAAAAAATAGTAAGATTTATGGCTAACAGAGCGTAATTTGCCAAAGAACGTAAAACCACTATAAAATTGTTAAAACTGCCGGCGATAGTGTAGCAAAACTATTTGTGGCAAATTCTAAATATCAACCTAGTCTAGATATGAACCTCGTTCTAGGAAGTAGAATACTCCAGATGTCGCCCCGCCAGAAGCAGTTAAATATTGCGCCTAAATATATGCCATGCTACAGCGGAAATGGACGACACGCCATTTCTTTAAATAAACTTAACTGCTGTTATATGTACATATGTATGTATATACAAAACGTAAACAAACAACATTTTGCTTGCCAAGTCTTCTGTTCGCTTTCATTGCAAGTTGAATTATTTTAATATCTATTGCAAAATTTTTTAAATAAAATAAAATAACACTTTTTAATATACAACGCTTTCATAAATGGACTAAAAATTATAAAATAAAACAATGTAAAAAAAATATTTTTTAAAAACAAGCTTTTATTTAACCTGTACAATCAAAGGAATAAAATGAAGTAGTGTAACAAAAGATTTTTTAGCACGAAAATTTTGTCAAAACTGCACTAAAATGAATAAAATAAAATAAGTCAAGGTCTCGTTAAAGTTACTAAAAGCCATTAAGTGAAAGGAGTTATTCAAACTCTAATGAAAATTGCTAACAATTTGTACTAATTTACTTCGTTTTTAAAAAAGCTTGTCGGCGAATTCAGCGTACACGCATAATTGGTTAGGTATGTATGTATGTATGCAGATATTTAAATGCCGGTAAAGTGCAGTTTTGACAAAATTTTCGTGCTAAAAAATCTTTTGTTACACTACTTCATTTTATTCCTTTGATTGTACAGGTTAAATAAAAGCTTGTTTTTAAAAAATATTTTTTTTACATTGTTTTTTTTGGTTTATTTTTTTACTACGAACAAAATACTTTGTGGCACATGTGATAAAATATACACTAAATTTTTGGCGCAACTATAGAGATTTAAGCTACAATATTTGACCAGGTGATTAGGCGTGTGGTTTAGAATAAATTTGTAACAGAAAGTCAATTTCGAAAAATATGTCACTTTTAAAATTGCACATACGATGATTTCCCGCAAAGGAGTCGATACATACAAAACAAATTTTCTGTAAATATTTACACTTAATGCATGTCTCCAACTTACTGTATTAGGCGTTCGAAACCAATCCAATTGAGTTGTGGCTAATAATTGCGATATTGTTGCAAAACGGTGGAAAAACATTGCAATAAACTGTATAATCAATATCAAGCCAAAAAACAAAACAAAACATAAACCGATGGGGTCCAATTCTTTATGACGTCTATAAACGTAAATTTGGGAATTGGTATCATCGTACGTTATGTAGTCAACTGGATCAATTGGCCACTCCAGGTGTAGATAATCCTTTTTCAGTTGGAGTAAAAAGACAATCAAAACGAAAATGGAGTTAATCATTATAAACGCAAAGGCGAACATGTTGCGTAATTCTCGAAGGCTCTCAGCAATTTCGGCTTTCTTTTCTATTGTGTGAAACATTGGCCGCAAGTAATGTTTAATCAATTCCTTCCAAAAACGTTTTTCTTTAAGAGATATCTCGCCCAACTCAGAGTCAACCAATAACGGGTCGTTTATCCAGCCGGGTAAATACTCTCGACTTCCGGCTTCAATATCACCTGACGCTGTTTCTATATCTTCATCCTTTTAAAAATATAACACTTCTCTTTACTTATTTACAACTTTAAATACCCGTTACGAACATCCTTACCCTTTTTACAGCGACTTCCCTTGTACCCCACGAAACATCATTCATATTAAAAACAGAATAAATAAGAAGTAACATGTACATAGAGGGGATGGTGATGTAGTAGATAAAGCCACAGATTAACGCGCTGACCTCTTGTGGATGAACCACGCCTAAAACGATAGAAACAAAACACTCGTACAATCAATGTTATTGTATCTCCTTCAACCAGCAATTACCTGCAATAAAAATTTGTATGAAAACCAGGAGAAAGAAAAGCGATGCTGGAGCTAATGGCCCATCATCTATCATTTGTATGATTATGCCAATCAAAACGGCCATCATTACCAGACAATACATAGAGCTTATTACAAAAGCTAGCAAAAGCTGAAATTTTAATAAAATAAAATTATTTTATTTTTATTATTTATTATATGAGATACTAAGATAAATAGTCGGTATCTTTAATAAAAGTATGCCCATTCTACAATAACATAAATGAATAAACATATTTACAATCGTTACCCTTATATAGAATAGGGCCTTTCTAAAATTGGTGTATTTTTACGGAGTGGTTACATAACTTCATAAAAACTAATGTTCTTAAGTTGGGAATTTCTTCAAAATCCTTTGTTTAATAAACACTCAAAAACTAATTTATTGGTTGAGTGGCTAGTTTTGAATAGAGATGGGCACGTGAGTGATTTTGGCTCACGTTCACGCACGCTCACGTTTTGTAAATCACACATACTCACATTCTGCTATATTTTGATCAATCACGTTCACGCACGCTCACGACGCCTAGCTTTTTAATCACACACGCTTCTTCACGGACCTTTTTTTCAAATTTAAACTTTATATTTATGAATAGCATTTGACATACATTGTTACAAAAGCTTGTCCAAACACCTTGCCTGGCATGAACGCACTATTATTTTTTTGTAACAAATTTCATAGCAAAGATTTCACACCAATATTCATTCAATGTAATTTTATAATGACATTAGCGCATATTTTTGTTTAAAAATAATATTTTGTCGAGGATTTCACCAAGCGATAGTGTACGTCTTTCTTCTAAAATTCTGCCTGACACAGAAAGAAATCTTTAAATAGCTGCTGCTACTAGCTGGTATGCTTAAAATTTGAAAGGCTTCCAAGAAGTGGAAAATATTAAGCTTACTCTCAAAATTTTAAAACATCGTCACAACTTTTATTTTCTGATTATTTGAAATAAATCAGTATTTCCGTAATAATGTCTTCAAAAACTGTTTTTTTTTTTTAATAATAATCCCAACGGTTTTTACCCTACATTCCCGCCCATCCGCACGAGGGGCGCAGTCCGCATGACGTACGGAACCAGTATTTTAAATTTTTGCGCCGAGTCACGTTAGGCAGGAGTTTATTAAGTGTCGAGATCTAAAACTGTTCAGCTATAGAACTAAATTCCTCAGCCGATTTTATGTCTTTATTTTAATGATTCATTTATTGAGAGAGGACAGTATCGATTTCTTAATGCTGAAAAGCGGATCTGATATATCAAACGTCATCTGCATGTATTAAAATTTTGGAACATTGTATATCTGTAGAAATATCGTTTGTAAAAAGCAAGAACAGAATCGGGCCTAGGTGGCTACCTTGAGGGACTCCTGAAGTAACATCAATGACGTCAGAGATAGTATTTTTAAAAATTACCCTTTGTGATCTATCAAAGAGTTATGAAGAGATCCAACGTAGAAAATTAGGTGAAAGACCAAGAAGATCAAGTTTATAGATGAGCATCGAGTGGCACAGTTTGTCAAATTGTTTACTGAAGTCAGTATATATAACATCAACAGTTTTGCTTTCACTAAATGCTTTTGAGATATAGGATGTTAATTCAAATAAATTTGTAGTTGATTTGCCCTTGCAAAATCCATGTTGACTATATGAAATGCTAGAAGAGATGGAATGCGTCAACTGATTTGTTATAATTGCTTCAAATATTTTAGGAATTGCAGAAAGCTTAGCTATTCCCCGGTAGTTCTCCACTGAATATCTGCTACCGCTTTTATGTAACGGGGTTATGAACGATTCTTTCCATATATGTAGTTGGAAAAACACCCTCTTACAGAGACAAGTTAAATCAGATAATCAGCACAATTTATAAGAATACAAGTAGGGATCTGGTCAGGACCATAACTGAATGACTGCTTTAAGGATTTCAGATAAACTACTACATCATCGGGAGATATTACTGGGATATTTATTGAGTTCATTGGACATAGTTTAAAATGATAGTCAATGTTAGCATGTGAGTTAATGGGATAATTGGATTTAAAAAACTGAGCGAACATGTTAGAAATTGTTTGATTATCACTAGAGACGGTATTTTGATACTTCATGGCGGAAGGAAATCCACGTACATTTCGCTTGGAGTTTACGAAGTCCTAAAATGATTTGGGGTTATATATTATACGCCGTTTGATTTTACACAAGTAATCTTTATAACACTTTTTGTTTAATTCAAAAAACTTATTACGCAAAGTCAGTATTTTACATAGTATGAGTGTAAACCGGTTTTTTGTGTAATCTAAAATAACGCGACTTTCTGTTTTTCAAATTTCTCAGTTCTTTAGTGAACCATAACTGTGTTTGTTCTATGTTGTTCAGGAACATACATGCGTTTAGGCACATGCTTTTCAAATAATTTATGTAAAGTAAAGTTAACAAGTAAGAGCAGCGCTGTCTTTGGCTATGCCGAAGGCTTCATACCTTTCATGAGTATCTGAAAATTTTACTTTATTAGATTACTGCATTTTAAAAAAATTTTATATTTACAGAATACATAGATAGAGGAGATACATATATGAAAAACCATATCTAAACAATCAGAGGTATGGAAGATATACCTTATATAGCACCAATCTAAGTGATTTTCACTGCTGTGTTATCGGTGTGTAAACCGGTAACACAATTTAATGGGTTTAGACTCCTACATAAAGGAGATATATCGTAATAACTGGTATCTGAACAATCAGAGGTATAAGAGATAAAGCTTATACAGCGTAGATTTTGACGATTTGCTCAGTAGACTTTGTATTATTATTTATAGAATAGCTTACGAAATTTATCTGTGTTAGCAGTCCAAATAAAGCTGTTTTACGGTAAAACGGCATATCTGAACAACCAGTTATATGGAGGATATAAATAGGTTACAGTGACCCGATCTTAGTTAATTTTACTGTAAACTTTCTGTTGGTAATTAGTGTAAATATTGCGAAATTTCATGTTTCTAGCTGCATATATGGAGAAGTTATAACAAAGAATCTCGAATCTGAACAATCAGTTGTACGGAGGCTATATGTTATAACGACCCGATCCTCGCCTTTTTCACTGTAAGTATGTTTTTGATAATGGGTGGAAATATTGCAAAATGTCATGTTCCCAGCTGCATAAATGGAGGAGTTGAACAATCAGTTGTATGGAGGCTACAGGTTATAGCGACCCGATCTTCGCCATTTTCACTGTAAGTATGTTTTTGATAATGTGTGGAAATATTGCAAAATGTCATGTTCCCAGCTGCATAAATGGAGGAGTTATAACGAAAAATCTTATACCTGAACAATCAGTTGTATGGGAGCTAAATGTTATAGTGACCCGATCTTTGTAATTTTCACTCTAAGTTTTCTCTTGATAATTGGTGGAAGTATTGCAAAATTTCATGTTCCTTGCTGCATAAATAGAGAAGTTATAACGAAAAATCTCATATCTGAACAATCAGTTGTATGGGAGCTATATGTTATAGTGGTCCGATTCTTCCGGTTCCGACAAATGATTAATACATTATAAAAATACACCCACCTACCAAATTTCATCCGGATATCTCGAAAACTGAGAGACTAGATTGCATACAAACAGACGGACAGACAGACAGACAGACAGACAGACGGACAGACGGACATTGCTAAATCGACTCAGTTCGACGTTCTGATCATTAGGTATACATTTTAATGGGTCTATCTCTTCTTATTCTGGTACTTACAAACATCGGACCAAAGTTATAATACCATTTCATGCTCATGAAAGGTATAAAAAGTGCAACGCTTTGTTCAATATTTTCTTTATATGCTGGCCACGACAATTTAGACAGTTTTTTGTTAAGCTTTTTAAAGTTGGCTTTCGAAAAATCAAAGCGAATATTTGGTTCGTATGCTTGGGTACTGCAATTTTGACCATCACTTATAACTTCGTAAGATACCTCCATAGCAGGGTGGTAGACATCTTCGGGCAAAACTAGTGGATCACGCTTATTTACAACGGACTTAGATGCATCATACGGGCGTATTTGAGTTGAATATTTCCATTATACGGAGTGTATGTATAATGGTAAATTCCATTTTGTTAAGACTTTTCACTTGATTTAAATACGAAGATTTTTAAACGGTAACACTGTGAGACAAATGGTAGGGGTCAGTGATCGGGAAGGGTTCAAACTACCGGGGAAAGTTATATCGGTTAGTAGTTAAATCGGACTAGTGGTTCTCGAGTTCCAGCGAAACGCCGGGACATGTATAACTTGTTTTTGACCGATATAACATTTCCCGTTGGTTTCATCCCATCCCGATTTTGACTGTCGCATAGTGTAATCAAATAAAATTTTTTTATTCTTACAACTCGTTTTTTTCTCAGTGTAGAAAAGAAACCAGTGATGTCATAATAACTGGAGACTTCAATATAAACTGGTATGAAAACACTGTTTCCAGAAGACTCATAAAGCAATCAACGGATGACAGTAGCTTTAAGCAGATTCTGAATAAGCCTACTCGAATAATTGAGTTTTCGGCAACGCTGGTAGACTATGTCGTGACATATATAAGTAATATAAATGCACATACGGTGTCAGACCTCAAAATAAGTGATCATGAAATGATACTGATTGAAATTAATGAGCGTGAGAAAGCAATGCCCACCAAATCAACGTTAAAAAGATTAACCTTTGACAACCGTATTTTGTGTGATACTGTGAATGCAAGATGTGCAAATTGCAATGAAGGTGATCTCGAAGCATATGCCACAACATTTTATGAAGCTTTAAAAGAGGCAATCAATAAAATGACAACAGTGAGAACAGTGAAGTCTAATGTAAGCAGATGTAGAGGGTATAATGCAAGACTCAGGACGTTAAGGCAATCGACGGAAACAAGCTATAGGCGGGCAACGTGGACTCGAAATACAGAAGACTGGTCATGTTATAGAGAATGTAGAAATCGGTGAGCTGAATCGGACCAATTGCCAATATATTGAGGCAAAAATAGATCGGTGTTTGGACCAAAAAACAATGTGGAAAGCAATAAAGGACCTTGTGTTGAAAAGGGAGCAAAAAAATATCGAAAAAATTGACTTCGGAG